AAAAGAGGCGTTGCCGTCTCATTTCAATGGAAAGCCTGCAGTTTTTATGAACATTTTCTTTTTTGTTAGGAAACTGTGGGCAGTAATAGGCTGTATGAGTCGCATTCTAATATGCGAATGGCAGCCAAGGATGATGGCGATACAAGGTACTTGAAAGGCCGCATCTGTTGTCTTCAAGTGTACAACAAATCTCTTACCAAACTTGAAATCATCGCAGTACAGAACAGAACCTTTCAAGAGGAAGGTGGGTCCCGCTATAGCTCTTTTAGACTTAGACTTAGTATTGGTATTCACAAAGAACAGGGAGGGGCACCCAACGACTGTTTTCTGTAAAACATCTGTTCAGAGAAACAAATATTGCCTAGAATTATATATTACTTGAGGACGGCTTAAAATTTCTAGATGACCGTTCCATTCACTTACAATTTTTCCAAGTTTATCTTATAAATTCCTACGATTTTCTGAAGTTTAATTTTCACGTTTTATTTCCTAAGTTAGGCTATTTTTCGTAAAAAAAAAAGGGAACCTAAAATTTTCGGATTCAAAAATGTGATGGCGAGGGGAATCAGAAAATGTCTCACTTTCGTAATACGTCAAATTTCATCTGTAATTTTCGGAAAAATAATACTCAAGCCCTTGTAATTTCGAAAAGACTCAAGTTCCCCTAGGATGACCGGACAGATACAAATTTTCCTGCGCCGCTTAGAATGCATTTATAGATGTCTAAAAGTGCTCTGGATAGTCTAAAAAGTGTTTTTAATGTATTTCAGAGGAAACCATCGTTGAGAGCCCCTGAAAGAAATGGAGTCTATCGAGAGATAGAGAGAGTAGAGAGAGGAAATCGTTTCTTGGGTTTCAAGCTTCCTCCCCCCACCCCCCACCATTTACTTTTTTGAAGGGAGACGGGGGGGAGGGTAGAATTCGCAAACATTTTCAAGCAAGGGGTATGACACAAAATATTTGTGAGTGTGAAAAATCTAAGGTGCACTTAGGGGATGGGAGATTAAATAGAGGCTGTCGCTTCATTAATTTGTGGTAGCTTAAACCGGATTGTGTGTGTGTGGGGGGGGGGGGGGGGGGNAATGTTATGTGAAGTTCACTTATCCACATTTTTTCAGTTGCAGACGCCGCTGAAACCTCTGTTTTTAATCATTTCCTATTAATTGTTCCTGCTCAACAACAACCAGATGCTGACATTCTTACCACTGTCACAGCCTCTACAGTCATGGAGTGTTTACTACGCTGTTCTCAAACAACCAAGTGCGAGTCTGCGAGTATTGAAGTAATGAACGGAATAAGTCGATCATCTACCCGAAGTTATTGCTTCCTATATCGTTCACCATTCAAGAAGAGTATTAAAACTGCCAACGGAAACCATTTTCAGGAAAAAAAGTCTTATAACAAGAAGATGCTGGCTCGCTAAAGGAAAATCTCAAAGCTTCGGTGGAAGATATTGTAGCTACCCTACACAGCAGTTTTATTATCATTTACTGAGTTTTTCAGTGATATTCCCTGCTTAGTCTTGGTATCGGTATACTACATCTATCCGCTCCCAACCAACCTGATCAGTAAATTTAAAAGTTTGCTGACATGCTGTAGCAGAGTACATCTCAAAACACGTTCAGGACAAGCTCCAATATTCCATTTTCAATATTCGTCAGAGAGAGACAGCATGCACGTTATAACGTCATGAACCGAGCGAACTTGTGTAAATTTGATTTAGTTTTTAAGGCCATGTTAACACAGTACCGGATAACTTTTACGCCGGCACGAAAACCATACTGAATAGGGCATCTGTTCACACATAGGGACGGTGATTTTGGCGGGATTTCTGTAACGGAGCGAATCTTCACCGCGCAAATCTCGAAAGTGAAGCGTCACATATCGGATAGGTTCTGTACAACACTTAGTGCAGTGTGAATAGGTACTTGAGCCGTAGCGGAAGTGAATAAGTATCAGGGGTGAGGACTGAGATTTAGTCCGGCAAACCCTCTCGGCCAACCGCCCCTGTACAATGTTCGATGTGTGTAAACGCTGGACTTGTTCCAGGCAGTCTAGCTGTGCCATTGCTGTTCAAAAACGAAAAGCTACCCAGTATAGTCTGAATATAGCCTAAACATTGGTTCTTGCAATGACCAAAATACTGCATTAGTAAAGCTTCTTCATTTGCTTGCTGTGATTTGACGTTAAACTGCTTGTAGACCCACAAATTGTTTCGCTTGTCTTGTTTCTAGATAAACCTGAGACGCTTGATATAAAACAAATATTGATCAGCGACCGACATGAAAATGCAATGAGAGGAAAAATCTTCAGGTGTAATTTCAACGAAAAAGGCTTTAAAAGTTCCCACTTTTTCATGGCTGGTAACGTATCTTTTGACTAAAACGATTGGAAAAAAGGCGGATTGTGAAATCTAATAAAGGTTGGCCTTCGACCTCATGGGCTATTGACTCAGAGCCCATTCGGGCTCGAGGAATAATTGTTAAATATAAGCTATATAGATATGTGCCCGGCCACCCCATCAGGTAGGGTCTTTGCGACGTTTATGTCTGAAAACGGGTATACACGTTGCCCATTTTGGTCTGGAATCGAATATGGCTTTCGAGGGAACTACGGGAGCGTATGAACGTATTTATCGTTTCAATTCCAAATGAATGAGAAAGAAAGAGAAATATGCGAATTCGAAATGGATTTGAAGAGTTTTTTGTTTGCGCTCTAATCTAAGTAATGATAACATACTGTTTCTGCCCAAAGGCTAGCTCTGAAAACGGGTATGGATTTTAGAGGTCTGGTCTGAAAATAGGTGTGGAAAATTACATTCTTTGCTCTGAAATAAAGTCAAGATTTGGAGAACGGAGCGGCACACCCCCACCAAGAATTCCCAGGAGTACCCCTCCCCGGGCTTATCGTATCATCACTACTGTCACTGGACATTTTTGCAGCGATCGCAGTGCATGGTCGTAGTCATGGAAACCATTCTTACTAGTCTGCTAGCTTCAGACAAGCTTATTAGCTTTTTTAAACAAAGAATTAAAAATTAGCAGATCGTACTTGCTTTTCCGAGGGCTTTTTTAGTTGCATCAATTAATCCCATTGCGCGCATTCATTTTGAATTCTTTTCAGCAGATTGTTCCTTGGCAAACTGGCAAGTACATAAACGACAACGTTTTAGATGGGTCTTGCTTCCAGTCAACGTGTGCATATACATGTATATCATTTAACAGCCAATCAGATTAAGAGATTTTTGCGGCCAAAATAAAGAGTTTTTATCACACTTGAGTTGGATTTACACTGCCAAGTAATTTTTACGTGTACGCATGTAAATCGTACGCGACATTGTACAATGTTGCACTTCTGAGTGGTGATGTTGTAACTGATCGCAAGCCACCTGCGGGAATACAAGGTCACCTTTAATAATTCAGCATGCATGCTTAATATTCCTTTTAAAACCGATCCAAACAGTTAACAACCAATCAAAAAATCGTTTTAAATGTACAACAATTTCACTCCCTGTCGGGTACCTTCTTTATAATATGGATAAGACAATGACAAAGAAAATAAATTAACATATGTACAAATATCAAAATAACTTTTGAAATACTTTCTAAACCTTTCCGTCGTGCGAGGTGTTAAGTTTGAAAAGTTGGCGGTTACGTAACAAATTCACCTCGATAAAACATGTTGCACTTTTGTGCAGTGAAGTACTCTGTTCGTTTCTTGGAGGTAGGTATCTCACCTTTCCCTCGACTTTCAAATTCTTGTTGGTACGGGTAATCTAGAGTTTTCTCCATCGTACCTTTTCAGGTATTATTGCTGGCACTGCAGCCCATGACAGGTAATATATTATGAGCAGAAGAGACAGCGAGCGGAGAGGCATTTGAACAATTCAAACTCATCTTTGGTCCGACACAAATACTCTGAGAAAAGAGTTACTTCATTCAATGAGAACCAAGTGTCGCTTTCATTTGTGCACATTGCACCAGAGTTAAAAGCACTTTAGAAATACTTTCAATTTGGCGCTAAACGAGTCTGTTAAAAACGGTGCTCAATCGCATAAGAAGGTAATCCTTTAACGGGCTTAATGAGTTAATGTAGTAGATTGGCAGCTTAGTAAAGGGCTTAACGTCCTTATAAATGTTTTACTAGAGTAATAGCTTGCTGATTGCCTTGCGACCCTGCTATCAGTCTAAACGAAATAATCTATTTTAAACTTCGGTTCAGTTGTTTTGCTGTTAAGCAAATGCTTTTTTGAGTGACAAACGTCAATCGGAAGAGAGGCCGTTTACCCTTCAATATATCTTGACGCTGCCAATTTGTAATGATTAGTGTCTTTGCTGTTTTTAGAACGACTTTCCCAAAAATTTAGGCCAAACCACTGCCAAAGTTTGCCATGCGTTGCCCAAGCTTAAACTATCTTGTTAACCCCATACACATCATTTTTGGTAACTAAAATAGAATATTCATTTGTAGTGTCGGAAGGACGTCTGAATTAAGTCTTGCGCTCATTAAAAGAAGGCGGTTTCTCATCCTCTCACCGCTGTTTATAAAAACTTTTTACGAAAGAAAGATTACCACTAACAACAGGAAAAAAAGCGGTAGACATAGCCGTGGCCCAATTTTGGCAGGAAAGAGTAATTTAAGAGTTTTATCCGCTTTTGATGTTCTGGGTAATTACACAACTTAAAGGTTGCTAAAATTGGATAATTTCTCGCAAAAGATGGCTTGGTCAAAAAGCGAGATTGAGGGAGAGGGAAAAAACATCAAATGAAGAGTTCCAGTGAAACTTGCGCATAATTAATATCCCAAGGTAACTTACAATTTTCTTACAATTTTCAAAACAAAACACTAGGTAACCAAAAAAAAAAAAACAGAACTATCTTCAATTATATATTACCTTCAATACCCGCAATGTGTGTGTTTTGGTATCCCAGCAGTGTTTAATTTGTGGAGCGAATAGACCCTTGATTAGATCGCGAGTGTCACTGTTATGTGTTCTCTGAACAGATGGTCTCCCTGTTCCTGCTGCTCTGTATCCACTCAATGGTCTACACGGAACACGTGACATCAGTGCAAACAAAAACTCACCGGGAATACCAAGCGGTGTCCACCTCGCACCGGGCCCCTATGGAAACCCCCAAGGCTCATATCAGTTCTCTGGTAGCTCTACCAGTTACATCGAGATACCCAACAACGGAGGCCTGGACACAAGATATTCTATAACAATTCTCGCCTGGGTGAATCGCGAAAACAATCAGGGTCCTATCTTTAATTATAATACACAACGTCCAATAGAATTCCACTTTTGGATCTGGATTGGTTCAGGAAACGCCTATGCTTCTAATCCCCATTGGATCTCTACTACTCACTCACCAATGGCTCCATATACATGGTACTACATTGGTATTACTTACGATTATTCGTCAGGGATCGCACAAGTGTGGTTAAATGGAGAAGCCAAGTCTAAGGTGATAAGCAAAAAGATCTAAAGGAATACTGGGTCTGTTTACTTCATCATTACAGACCACGGGTATCACTCTAGAGAACTGCTTTTTATCAATTTTCATATGTAAGCAAACAATTTTTCTTAAATACAAATAAGCAAAATCGGGCAGAGACCTTGAGAACGTCACATGACCTGACTTGGGAAGCAAACAAACCAGTTGAGGTTTATTCCCCACCCGTATGAATCCACTTTAATTGAAAATATTTTATTCTCAAGATTCACCTTCATTTGTGACGTATTTGAGCAAAACGTCCACAGATAATGCACCCTGCGCCGAAGCAGAGCCGGGTATGAATCTGTTGGCAAAGGACAAAGACCTCAATATAGCAACGGCATTTCCATGAACCAAAGTAGTAAACAACATCGTTCATAGGAAACGAAAACTACCGGGAAACGGTAATTGTGTTTCCACTTTCGTTAAATTAATATCGTTCATAGAAAAACGAAAACTACCGGGAAACCGGTAATTGTGTTCCCACCTTTGTTAAATTAATATAGTTTCTTCTTCTTCTTTTTCTTCAGTCTTATAACCTAAAAGCCAATTCTTCTCCTGAGAAGGGTATGCTTCTGGACCCCCTAGTTTGCTCACGCTTTCGCGTTCGGTCGAAACTTAAACTGAAAAAACAGGTTGCAGTAAATTTACTACCAAAATTCTACTTTTTCTATTCACCGATAACCTCCCATACTAGTAAAAAACAGCAAATATAAGCAGACCCAATGAGGAGACGACGTGCAAACGTTTTGGAATGTTTTTGTACCTCGAAATTTATTTTTGTTGTTGCCGCCACTGGGTCAGTCTTCAAAGAATACTTTTTAACTATACCGCTTGTTCTCTAATCACTCTGCAGTGAAACGAGAACAAATCATTTTCACTCTAGAAGCCATGAAACGCAGACAAGAATCAGGAATAGGCATCTCGTTTATTGATAGCTAGAACACGGGCAAAATACATGAATAAACATACTACAAACTACAGCTAACGAAGACGTAAGCTAACGATAATGTCTATAATGTACAATCTGGTAATAACCTTTCTGAAAGATTAAATATAATAACAAAAAAGATAACAAATACAAGAAAATTTACAGAACGGTAGCGAGAGATGCCGTCAAGTGACCTTAAATCCGCAAAGAGCACCTTATATACCTGATAACAAATAATCACGCACACTGTCAAAATAACTCACACGACAAATACCAACACATCCGTATGCAAAGCACTGAAGCAACGTGCATTCCTTAACGCGAGAAAATACATTTATACCTTTGAACTTGCCGGTGGACCTGTACCGTTCTAAACCTCTTATTTCATTGGTCCCCTTTGCTTTAATCTGCACTTCCATTGTTTTCAGGGATGGGGGCATTGTTATGTCACAATCCCTATTGTTTTTCCAACCAATCACAAACAATCTTTCAAATAGGTGCAGATACTTGCTATGTAACAGAGATTGATACAAAGGGGGGTGAATGGAGAATTGAGGCTTGACGAAAACAGGTTCAGGCCTACATAAAAAAGCGATTTAGTATTACTAAAATTTAAAAAGTCGTTGTTTCTTAAGAGGAACACGTCAATTAATTATTCCTTTCCAATTTTAGGTTACTGTTAGTGTCCCTGGTTCTTTTGAGATTACAACTCGATCGGACGTTCGAATGGGAGCGTTGCAAAACGACCATAGGTACTTCAAAGGTCGCGTCTGTTGTCTTCAGGTGTACAACATAGCACTTAATGAACAAGAAATCATTGCAATGCAAAACAGGACTTTTTGGTTTTGCCATCGAGGTAAGCACAAGATGATTTGGATTATCTTCATAACATCATCATCCGCGCCCAGTGGGGCAAAGGGCGCGAAAAAAAGTCCTCTTTTCAGGCCTGCTTTTGGCCAACTGAATATCATACCAACGCTACCCTCGCATAAAATAGTTTGGCTGAGCTCTTCCACCGACTCAGAAAATGATCGAGTCTTTCTGAGCGTGGTTCTGTAACCAACATGGTTTTAGGAGAGTGCCCCTCTATCTCTCCTATCTCTTCCTACACCCTCGCCAACAATTTTTGTGAGTGCTTCCTTACAACTCTCCTCATTCATACTTCGAATCATTTTGTTTTCAACTACTAACTGAAAACATTGTTGTTTTTTTTCTATTAGCAGATCAATCGATCTTTGGAAATGTCCAACCAGTCGTCGGTGCCAGAGAAAGCAACCTGGTTAAAACATACAAAGCCTCTACAGTAGTGCAATGTTTATTACGCTGTTCACGCATGCCTGAGTGTAAATCCGCCGCCATTGAAGAGATTAGCACCAGTCGATCATCTACAGGCTACTGCCAGCTTTACCAAGCACTATTTAAAACGAGTATAGGAGATGGCGTCTATTTTCAGAACAAACAGTATTATAACATAAAGAAGAAGGTGGTCTAAGATTAAGGAACTAAGTTTACGATCTGTTTTACAGGACTTGACCGAAACCGGAAACGCGCATGAAAAGCCTCTGGCACCCAGGGTAGTATATAGGTTATGTTTTCCCATTTTACACCATGTGGTGTAGCCCTAGAGATAGATGCACGAAAAGACGGAACGAAAAATTGCTTTGAGGACATCACGTCCTCTGAATTGGGAAATCAACACATAGAAGCTTGAGGTTCTCATTCAAAATATTACCTTTGCCCGGCAATTTGTGATAACCATACTGTCGAATTAGTGAAAAACGTAATCATAATTAGTTATTAACAGTAGAAAAAAGGGGATGTTTAGTCATAGGAACAGCAGCACAGAACCAGTCTAAAAAAAAGTGACTATAAAAACAAAGTTTATCAGTCTTCCTAAAGGAAGAGACGTTTATTTCACTTAAGGGAATCAATCTGTTAAGAGACCGGTCAAGTAAAAGATACAACTGACATCAACACAGGTGCTCTTAAAACGTGTTGGCGTGGCCATTTTGACATCATTTCGTGTGTATGTTGGCTATAGGTCCCTAGTGAGGATATAATACTTGCAGGTTAAAACCAGAAAATGTGTTACAAAGAAAAAATCACCTATTATAAACTGTTGCAAGGAGTATTCATTTACTCATTAAATGGTACTTAGCAATAACATCGAGCAAACCAAAATCACGGTTGGAATATGTAATGTTTGTGCCATTAAACAATTTGGAACAAAAAAAAAAAAAAAAAAATGAGCAGTCTAGAAGCAATGCATTTTTTTTTTTCTGAAAACAAATTCTGGATATTTTCGAGTCCCTCGGTCAGTTTTGCTCGTGGAAAACCGCTTTCCGAACATTTTCAACGAGGCACACTACTCTCTAGTCTCCTTTGCAGCCGCTCAGGAATGCGCGTAGCTTTACTATCGGGACGATTTGGGAATGAGATAGCGTCCATAATAAAGTTAATTTGAAGCCATCCGGTAATGCATATTATCCGAGTAAATAAAAAATTATATATACCGGTGTAAAATTCGGGTTTTAAAATTAACATTTGATAACTGAAAATGTCTTTAACCTTTCAATGTGTTATTTTATTTTATTTATTTTGTGCATGAAAGTGTAGTAATCGAGAATTGTAAGCTGCTCCCAATCCCCAATCTTTTTAGGATTTAAAATTTTATTATCTAACTTTTTTGTTAATTTGGGGTACATTAAGTAAAGAAGAAACAACGAAGAGTAAAGAGGTTCCGGTCTAAACAATAGAGTACATTCATTTCCGCATATTTCATTTCCGTTGATTCCAACTTCCCAAAAAAGCTGAAAAAGAAAAAAGACTGGAAAATAGATTTTTCGACGGGAGGTTGCGTTTGGTCAGGAAATTTAAGTAGGATATGAACGATTTTGGCAGACCAACAGCCTGAACCCAAATCTCTTTAACGAAAATAATGACCCGCCATTTTTAAATATTATTGGCAATTCATTTTCCCTCTGTCAAGCTGTGTAAATGTAATAGGAAGCCGGAATGGTTTTTTGAAATAATAACCGACATGGTGTGACATGATCATGAACTTGCCAGGTGAACATCTGTCATGTAAACGTCACAGAAAATAAATAAAGACAGAGAAAAAAATTGCTGGCATGAAACTCTTAAAAAGCAGGCGGGATTGCGAGTTGGGAGAAGGAAACAAAAGATGTTGGCCTTAGTTCTCTGTATGGTAAGTCTGATGAGTTATCAAAAGTGAAAAAGGGATGCAAATTTGAAGTTTTCTTTCTTCACCTTTTAACAGTTTTATTTGTCAAGTCAAGCAGAGCCTGACATATTGATAAAAGGTGAGAATGACTACCTCTACGGTTCTTAATAAATTTTGGTTTAAATACGGATATAAAAAGGAGTAAAAACATGTAGTAAACTTACAGCAGCAAAAGAATTCGCTTAGAGTCTGTAACTGTAATCTTTATCGAATAGTATTCCGTAATAACAAACAACATAGAAATTTATCCAATTCCGGGGGAGGAGTTCTCTTCCATGGAGGGGGGGGGGGTGCTAGTGAGGGTTTCAAAACCCTCCGTGTTTGGGACAGAAAAAGAACCTAAAATACCCATCCTGACTAAGACAACGACCTCTATTTAAGAACCAAAAACGGGTCTGCTGATTTTTCGAATGGAACAAACTGGTATAAAATTGTTTCTCTGTTTCGAGGCCGCGTCTCCGCTTCATGTCCTGTACACACCAAATATTAATAGAGGAGTGCCCCACACCCCGCTTCCCGATCAAATTTTTCTCTATGGTATCACGTCCATCAATTACCCGTCTTCTTTCAACTTTAATTAATTTTTTTTATTGGTATCCTACTGAAATAATTTAACACAAAAAATTACTATTTCGATTAGTGAAGTTTCTGGTTATTTTCGAGTCCCTCGGTCAGTTTTGGTCGTGCACAACCGCTGTCCAAACATGTTCAACGCGGCAGACTTTCTCTCTAGTCTTCTCTGCAGTAGCTCGGACCTGCGGGTAGCATTACTGTCGGGACGATTTGGGAATGAGATAGAGTCCATAATAAAGCTAATTTGAAGCATTGGCTTAATAAACAATTATAGGAGATTCATAGTTCCTTTTATATCTCCTCTTACATGGGATTAACATCCAAAAGAAGATAATAAGCAATAATCAATTCACCCTCTCTGTTGTTCGAAAAGGATAAACCGAAAGGAAATTGGTAAAATTTCTATCACGGAATAAAATTGTCTTATCCTCTCCATAGTCAAATTAACCAAAAAGATTCCATTTTTTTTGGAAGGAGGTGAAAACTGACGTCAAAGTTTAAACTCCTTTTAAAGCATCCCTTCGGGTGAAAAATTTTATTCCAGAGAACAGCGTTTAAGAAATCGAAAGGCAAATTCTATATTCCAGTCAAGACGTTAAACATCACCGATTTCTTTGTCGTTGTTTACTCTTTTTCACTAATTTTCTTTAGAAGAAAAAGCAAATTCAGACCTACAATCGAGTTGAGACACTTCGCCTTAACCCTTTACATCCTAAGATCAAAATTTGAACTCATTTGATGCCCCTATTCATTTCCTACAGAAGTAGTGGGGAGAAGTTGATAAAATATCAAGCAAATTTAGAGTGAATTCACGTCTGTGATTCTCATGACCACTCTGTTTTGCAAAGTATTGATATTACAAGGAGAAATTTGACGTTGATCACTCTTAGGGCTTAAAGGGTTAAAGGGGCTTTCTAACGTTTTACTGACTTCAAAGGGGGAAAAGTAAGCTCCTCCCTCCCCCGCAATCCCCTCCATGTAATGCTGTGCCGCTTTTCGAGCTACCTGTAGAAAACAACCAACAACTCAACTTTGAAGGAAGGGGAGGGAGAGAGGTGTGGATTGTTTTGTTCTCTGAAGTTACCCTATTTGAGTACATTGTCTCGACAATTTTGTCGCCGCCTTTTCTCCTCCTCACTCAAGAAGACAAAAGAAGTCAAAGGAGGCTCTGTTGAGAGCGCCATCGGACGATCTCACTTAAAAATGGCGGACTGTTAACAGTCTAGTAAGAAGAGTAGTCGAGAAATTCCTTTGAAATCCACGGTATGAGACATCAAGGGATCAACACTGTGAAATGTTAGTTTTCTGTTAAACAGGTTTAGCGATGTGTCCACGTGATTGGCTATACCGAGATGGGTCTTGCTACCGAGCCTACAACCCAGAGAAATCATGGAATAAAGCACTAGAGTACTGCCAAGAAAAAGAAGGCGAACTAGTTAGCATTAATTCGGACAGAGAGCAGCAGTTTGTTTACCAAAACATGGCTGTTAACAAAACATTGTGGATCGGTCTGGTTAAAGATCGACGTTTGGGGATTTTTCGTTGGTCTAACGGCCAGAGATTGACTTTTACAAACTGGATAGAGAAGCCGAACATATCTGGCCATGAAGACTGCGGTGAGATGACAGACTATAGTGTCTTTCACGGTCAGTGGAACGACAACACATGTTCTACAAAACTGCCATTTATCTGTGAGAAAGGTGAAGTTATGTTAATTTCCTTAGCCCGGTTAGCCCATTTATAGGGGCAAAAGGACGAGAAACGACTGGAAAACTCATTAAGGGGTGATTATCATTTACACAATGAACCATTCGCTTGAAACGTCCGTGTATAAATCTTTCACGTTGTGGGAGAAGGACCCGCTACAAAGTCTGTAAAGACCTAGAGGGGCTATGTCACATGAATTGAATTCTAGTTTTGTTATTAAGACTATGTAAATGTAACTGTCTCCTGTCACCTGTTGCGACGGATATAGTTAGGCCAACCTTTCAAGTTTTAGTATTATGCCTTCAAAAATCACAAAAATATTCAGATTATGGTTCGTGCTCATAAATGAAATTTGTTTTGTGTATGAGTTAAGACACTAAGTAATGCCTTCAGCACAGCATTGACTTAAAACAACAATATCCTCGTGACTTAGCCCCTTTAAGAAAACACATCTCCTGAAAAGCCGGGGAAATATTTTCTAACCTAAACGGAATGGCGTGAATCATTTAATTCTTCGATCGGAATTCCCAGTTTCCGCACTTAAAGTATTGTGATAATTTTTTAAAAAAAATTACAGATCGTTTTTCAGTAATATACGAACCCTTCCTCCAAAACAGGTGCGTTGTTTGGCCGATATTTCAAACAGTTAACTGGGAAACAGCTGGACAATCACGTTATAAGCCACGTGACCACCACATCAAGTGACTTGGAATGCCTGCTTTGGTGCCAACGTCATATGAACTGCCAGTCAGTCAATTACAGACAGAACTTGAAACAAGACCGTATGTGCGAATTAAGTAATGCTAGTCAAGTGGGATTTCCCGACGACCTCATAGATAACAAAGATTTCAGTTATTTCGAGTCTATAGAGTTAACATGAAGCATATCAAGGCCACTGAGCGTGCGTATTCACAAGGCAACCACGTTCCTAGCAGAAGGGCTTTTTAGGCTGGTATTGGGAGATGTTACCGTACAAGTGATTACACCAAAAGTTTCCCGAAAGCTGCTTTTATATTTAAATTCCTTTTAATTAATTTTTCCTTTACATTTGAAGTAAAGAGTTACTTTCCGGCCCCCACTAGCCTGGTTCTCATACGAAGGCGACGGCAACGAGAACGTAGACCAAAACAACAACTTTGCAAGTGCGTGACACTTTTTTGTAAATTTCATTGCCGTTTTTGCACGACCACAACGTGAAAATGCCTAGTTTCACGTTTGATGGAGGACGTAAACAAGCACCGACGAAAATTCCTTTCTCTTTCTGAACTTGGATAAGGCTGTTACGAATTCAACCCAAGGAGAATTACCATACATTTGACAAAGTAAGCGAGTTGGCATAATCACGATCAGAATGGCTCTGAATCGCGATGGAGATTGAAAAACCGCGAAGCGAGAACCTCGAAAGGTAGAACTACGTAATTGACTCTTGGACTGATACGATTAATTGTGAAATCGATCAAATTATCATATAACAGTATCCTATCGTATATTTCCGCTGGGCGATGTTCTCAAAAACTGGCGGGAAAAAGCGGTAATTGACCTCAACTTCCCAGACACGCCGGGTGAATGCTTTGTAGATAAGCCTCATCATATGAGAACCAAGCTTTTTTGGCGCATACATTTACAACAGGATTCAGGTAGAATACCTTAACTAAATGAATAAAATTGCATGAAAGTATATATACAGTACTAGTAAAGTAACATAAATTATTCTACCCAAATCGATGATGCCAGAGCACAGAAAAACAGCGCTCTAATTACGACTGAATGAGAGAACATAGAATAAATGGGAGAGAAAAATAAGTAATGAGGTTGGTCAATGATAAAGTTCCATTTTAGCAAACAAGATTTCATGTAATATTACATTTATATCTATGAAAATATTTATCAATACTATTTTCAATTTCTTTCCAGTAAAATTTAATACATTTATTAACCTTTTCCACTTGCTAGCGATGTCTTTTTGCTTTCTTGAGACGAAAAACGTCTTGCAAGTGAACTCCACGTGTATAGGGCCACGCAGCAGACGCCACGACAAGCGGAGTGACTGGTGCGCAAGTAGCGTGTCATGAATCAACGCTAAACTGCTTGCAATCGATAGGTTCCCGCGACGCGCGACACGCGAACAGTGACAATGCTCTGCTCAATTTTGGGGAGGTCCCCAACCACAAGAGATATATTTGAGAGTTGGGTACGAGATTGCCGCGCAATGCGACGCTAGCATATATGGTTTGAGGACAGGGGTTCGCTGGGCCTAATTAAATTTTCTTGATGATAGCTCCACATTTGGCGAACGCGCTTTTACCAAAATCACTTACTCGACGTCTAAGTCTAAGTCTAAGTCGCAAAGAATTATTGTAAAATTTCCTGAACTTCCTAGTATGGATTTATTATTTATTTCATTCCGCCAAATCCGCGTTTGCCTTTTTTTTCTAGAACAATAAGAAAGATACTATATTCTGCATAGCTTGTCCTGTATCAGATACTCTGTCATAATCATTTAATCGTCTACAATCAGCTAACTATGAAGTGGGTCAAATTGGCAATGGAAATCAATAAAAAGTTTATAACCTCATTGGACACAGGAAAAAGACCTTTGTGAAATTATGTTTCTGCTGACGAAATTTTTCCGCTTAACTACAAACTGCATATGTCATCTTCCTAGTAAAAAACATTCAGTGAATCTTGGTATTTGGTTACAGTTCACCTCTCACACTGACAACATTCTATCAGCTCCTTGTAAGGCGCACAGGTTTCTGCGGCTTTTTTGAATGTCAATATAAAAGTCTCTTTATGGGTGGAATCAAGATTCTGTGGAAAAATCAAATGCCAACGAGTCTGAGAATACAAGCGGCACAGTCTACTAATGATTGGGTATTTTGTTCAAAATGCAGTTAAATGAGATTTAATGCAGATAACAGTAAAGAGCGCCTTCTCGTGTCAACGGTCAGCGGTCAGTTTGAGGGCGTAGGACATTCAATTTGTGGCGGACACTAGGATTCGTTTAGCCTTCGGATCTTGCGTTTACCCGACCCATCCCTCCCTTTATTTTTCTTCTCTTAATATTTTTGCCCACTGGTTTTCCAGTGTGACGGGGTGAACGGTTCTGTCGGAGTAGGGGCTCTGGGCTGAGAGGCACGGATTTACCAGCCACGGAGAAGTAACTTTATATAAGGGCTGGCTGTGCCGCTCGTGCATACCCATGGTCCTCCTAGGCACACAACTTTCAGTAAGCGATGCAGTTTTTTAAGCAACTTTCTTGAACTGTGTCTCTTGTGTGCTAATTTGGAGCGGATAATGTTCCACCCTTTTTCGTGTAAGCTTAGGTTTCATTTCATCAAAGGGTAAAACAATTGTTTCTATTCCACCGACCAGCGAGTATTTAACTGACTATTTTAAAAAAGTGTTGAAAACTTGTTTAAATGTGAATAAAAGGATTATTTGAACTTAGCTTCCTTCGCTCAACTAACCAATGTCGTTAAAAATTTTTAAGTCTACTTGCAACAACATGTAACAGCATTTGGAAGCAAATGTAAAGATTGCCAAACGTAATCACTGGTATTAGCCTAAATAGCTTGACAAGGTCGAATAAACTGCGCAAATGAGCAACAGATTCCGGAGAAAACACGACTGGTTAAGAATTACAACAGAAAGAGAGGATAAAAACTGATAAAATACAGTACTTAAGACACCCTCCACACTCCAGGAAAAAAATAACATGACTCAAAAATTACATGTCTCACCAGTGTTCTGTAGAAGTCCATAGCTGTCGCGCAAAATAATTTGACGTCCAGACTTTCTAGTTTACCCATTCTTCGTACGATATGGGCGAAGCTGGTACAAGGGTCAAGGATCAAACCAATAGAAGTGACAAGAAGGTGGTAACAAGAATTCCTACCGTGGTCTTCATTTGCAAATCTCCCATAAAACCCTATGACACCATGCGTACCCCCCACCCCCCTTCCCCCATATTTTGCATAGCAATTGTTTTTAATATCTCCTCGGAGTTTCAGTCGTCAAAATTTGTGGGGGGCAATTTGTATTATGGTACATGTGCAAATAGCGAATAACCATTACAAGGAAATTAATGGAAACAGTGGTAACGAAGCCTGTGTACAGCCGCCTTCTTCCCTTCCCTTTTCCCGATTTTTTCTGAGGGGAGGGGGCGGCTGTACACAGGCTATGGCAACGTTGATAATGATCACGGACATCCTTAGCAAGAGGCGACAGAACAAACGTGGACCATTATTTTTGGAATCAATTGATGCGGGGAAAAGTTTCAACTTTTTAAAATATAGCAAATAGCTTGACATAGCCCCTTCAACTCTTAAGAACATATCTATGATCTATTATAATACCCAAAACAAACAAAACAAAACAAAAACGTAAAAGAGTGAAAAGATATAACAGAATTGCATATTAGATTGGATACAGGGCTCTGATCCACTTGTTACTCGACGCACTGGCAAAGAAACAGGCGAGGCTCCACACAGCCATGGACAGTGGTGTTCTGTCACAAAAATAACAACCAACAAATCACATTGTATCGATAGAAACGACCTTGGGCGAAGAAAAAAATTATTAAAGCCCGGGCGACCTTTCAGCTCTCGGAAGACCTCACGGGATTGGTTGGGAAAACAATGAACAAACAAAGTTAACAATGGAACCAGGCCCGAAAGCAAAAGAGCTGCGACCCATAGGGATCCAATTAAATAAGAGGTTTTGAAGAGCTGCAAGGCTACTGTTAAGCCCTAATATCAGCATGACCGCTATTTTCTTCATACTACTCTCAACACATTTTATATAAATCTGGATACAAGAAGTCAGAAGTTGCTTAAAATGAATATTTCATCTCTTATTTTTTCATTCTCGTGACCTACAGGTCAATCTTACGGCTTCACTTATTTTGACGTATAGCAGTTAGCAGTTTGTCTTTCCTCCTTACAGGAGCAACAAAGACATAACTACAAAGAAAATCTCACCTAACTGTTTTACAAAGAAATCAACCACGCTCGGCACATGGCAGTCTTATTGGTCGAAAGAATCAACTTTTTTTTTCCGCAGAATTTGAATAATAAAAAAAAGGTTCTGTTCTTGTCGACCAACATGAACGTCGTGTCGTGAGCTACAAGCCAGGCCTCAGTTGTTCAAAAAGTGCATAACGCCATCCATCGGCTAAATCTTTATCCCGTAGATATGGCAATTGGGTTTCCCGAATACTTATCTACTAGATAGTGATTTATCAGGCCCCGGTTGTTCAAACGTTGGATAGCGCTACCCACCGGATAAATCGCTATCCAGCGGATAAGTAGCAGGGAAACCAATTGCGTTATTCAGTGGATAGCGCTATCCACCTTTCGAACATCTGGGGCCAGGTGGATAGTTTCACCGGCGAAAAATGTCTGATTGGTCGACGCGCGACCACGTGACATTGCCAAATTCAAAATGGCGGCAATACCTCCATCGTTTGTTTATACCAGTAGAAAGAAGATTAATTGCGGCTTAATACGAGTTGCAAATGCATATACGCATATTTTTAGAATAGCCTAGACTTTGTATGATCCTTTTTCACCTATTCCTATGGGATTCGTTCCCTGCGATGCTCGCGTTTGGCCGGTTTATCGGATTCAACTTTGGACTCCTCACAATCACGAAGGATAACAATATATAGCCGGGTCACTAGAAAGAACGACCTTTGTTCACAGCTCAATGCAGCGGAGAAATAAGACACTATGGGTCCTTTGAAATTGCTTACACACCTGGAAGTTATTTTATTTTATTTTTTTACCGAAAAGATAAAGCAAAATTATGTTTCTCCAGCAAGACTTTCTAATTTATAAAAAAAAGCTTGAACATGAGCTAAATGAACTGTAGTGTCTG